TGGGTTTACTCGAGTGGTGGTTATATTATACTAGAGTCAATGTGAATTGACTGGACAACTGATTATCCTTCCAATAAGGGGGTCCAGAACTCTCTTCTCACATTTAATCTTCGTCGTCGTCTTCGTCTCCGTAGCATCAGCAGCAACAACACACCATCTTCTTCATAGGATGACATTATTGAAACTGACGAAAAACTGAACTGATTCCCTCTCATGTCGCCAGCACGTGTCCCTTCTCCCATGGTTGCATTTTATTACATGTCGCAGACATCATGTCCGCGACATCAGAAATATCGGCGACATCATATCCGCGACACCGGTGTGTAACCCGCCTAAGAGCAATGGCAGAATGCCTAACAGAAAAATCGAAGAAACCTTTTTGTGCGACGTTAAGGGCCAGCAGCATGTGTCTAAGGAGGACAAGGAAGAAGTGGAGGACTCTTAGAGAGTTTGAAGATGGGACTGGAGTACCAGTTATTTATTTATTTAAATAGCAAATGTTTTATTATTTTTCCATATCAAAATTGTGAATTATATTATTTAGTATAAAAAAAAATTTACAGATGACTTAAATTAATTGATATATTTACATTCTTTCAAAATGTAAACATGGAAAATTTGGAAGGCCATGGGGCGTAGCCAAGGGAAATGTGAAAATTAAATGATATAATATTGCATTGCCATCCATTTGGGAGCTATGTTTCAAGTTTCAAGTCTCTAGCTCATCGGGAACTTTGTTTAAAATTGATATCAAAATTTGTAGGAAAGCGACTAGCGAGCTAATAAAAACAAGCCCATGGGGCGTAGCACAAGGGAAATATGAAAATTAAATGATATAATATTGCATTGTCATCCATTTGTGAGCTATGTTTCAAGTTTCAAGTCTCTAGCTCATCGGGAACTTAGTATAAAATTGATTGCAAAATTTGTACCAGACAAGAAATAAGCGAGCTAATAAAAAACGTTTTAATATATAATTCTGAGCAATTTGCAGACAAAACTCTAATTTTATTTATGAAGATTTATTGTTTGTTTGTTTACTCTATTACTGAATTATTAATTATAATTATGAATCTTTGATTCTCAATTCTCATTACTGTATAGATGATGTTTGCATTACCACAAAGTTATTGGTTTTTGTTCTGTCATACTGTTCAATGCAAACACAAGGTTGCCTGCATATTCCAACCATGGTAAGTGTGTGTAACTTATTCAGTTATGGGCTAGTTTGACTAGCCAGAAAACCGGGCTGACACTAACAATGACAGTTTTTTACTTTCCTAACCCTATTTTCACAAGGTCAGTTTGTGTGGTATATTTTCCAGGGCGGCTATTTCAGTGACATCCATATCCATGTTAATCAGACACAATAACAAACACTGAAAATCTTCAAAAATATTGATCAAAATGGTTCCTTGTGCTGGAAATATGTAAACACCTTACCTACTCTATGTTAAAAAAATCTAAAATCGTATAACTCATTGAGCGAAGCTCTTATACGTCGACTCTTATGCATTTCGTAATACGCAATCTTCTCCAAGACGGCTGAAGTAATCATTTTCAAATTTTGCATGGTGATAAAGACCATATATCGGTGAGTGCTAACAACTATATGGTGTTAAAAAAACTCTCTAAGGAATCCCCCCCACTGGCTCTAAAAATTTTTATGTAATCTTTATGGACGCAGTATTTGACACAAAAACAAAGACACAAGATCAGCTGTTGACGTATTAAAGGACTTAACTGAAACGGCTACTTTAAAAAAGGTCGTAGGTAAAAGGAATTACTGTAACTGTTATCACCGATATTAGAACAGAAACGGTATGGTTCATAAACATAAAAAATGACGTCACTAGCTTTTTATTATAATAATAGTTGTTTTATTACAAATCCAGTTATTTTATTATAATAAACCTTTTAATTGGAAGTCAACTATACTTTTTATACTAAATAAATTGTTTTTAATTTAATTCCCTCATCAGTAGATTGAAATATATAAAAATAGTCACACAATGTCCACAAAATGTCAATATCAAGCAGCTGATTCGAATCCTACGTGGTGTTTTCTAGTTATGTTTAATTTTTTTACTCGTATTATGGATACTAGTACCTGGGGACCGAGCTTTGCTCGGGAAAAGTCATTAGTTCACTCTGAAAGCAGTCTTAGTATTGGAGATACATAAATCTATTCCCAAACTCCACACGGCTCGCCTTTACTACGTCCTACACCATTTCCTACGTCTTGGACCTGTTTTCCTCCCTTCCCATAGCATTTTAAGATTGCAGATACCTCAATCTAATCCTCATAGACAGTTCCCACACTCCGGACTACTTGCCTTGACTACTTCCTTCACCACTTCATACGTCACGGACATGTTTCCCTCCATTCCCATAGCATTTTAGGATTGCCCATACCCTTATCTAATCGTCATAAACAGTTCCCACACTCCGGACTGCTCGCCTTTTGACTACTTCATTCATCACTTCCTAAGTCACAGACCTGTTTCCCTCTATTCCCATAGCATTTATGATTGCCTTTACTACTTCCTTCACCACTTCCTACGTCGCGGATCTGTTTCCTTCCCTTCCTATAGCATTTTAAGAATTGCAGATACCTTAAGCTAATCATCATAAACAGTTCCCACACTCCGGACAGCTCGCCTTGACTACTTCCTTCACCACTTCCTACGTCACGGACCTGTTTCCCTCCCTTCCCATAGCATTTTAGGATTGCAAATACCTCAATCTAATCGTCATAAACAGTTCCCACACTCCCGACTGCTCGCCTTGACTACTACCTTCACCACTTCCTACGTCGCGGACCTGTTTCCCTCCCTTCCCATATCATTAACTACTTCCTCACCACTTCCTACGTCGCGGGCCTTTTTCCTTCCCTTCCTATAGCATTTTAAGAATTGCAGATACTTTGATCTAATCGTCATAAACAGATCCCAGACTTCGCACTGCTACCCTTGACTACAATGTATCGAGTAATCTTCAGTATAATCTTTGCTAGATATTAACATGTGATGTTTTACCTTTTGTACTGTATTTGTAATTTGTTGTATACTGTGGGTAGTTGGCTTATTATGAACACATGCTACAATTTCAAGTATGTTGTTTACTTTTTACTTGTTATTTAATTCAGCCAACATGGTTACCTAGCAACCCATAAGACTAATGTAAAAAAAAAATTGATTTTCAGTTGCATTTTTCTACGTAATTAAATTTTTTTTGGCAGTTCTAACTGCAGTAAACTCGTTTTTATGCCAGAAATAAACTATTTACAACATTTGAAGAAAATCGTCGGAGCCGTTTTCGAGATCTTGGTGCAAGCATACATACATACTGTACATACAAGCAAACCTTGCTCGTATTAGAGTATAGGATAATAAAAAGTGTTCCAATAGTTACATGAATAACGAAACCCGGTTCTTATAAAAAAAAGTTGACCCATAAATTGAACTAGGTATATGTTGCTCGAAATCGAGCAATCGCAAAGAAGTACATAAAGGAGTTATTTAAAAACAAATAACTTGTTTAAGAACAAATATAATATAAGTTATAAATTCCGATGAGTTTAAAAGAGTCAACCCAAAGATTACGTAACTAATAATAATACTCACAATGTACTTACCAGTTCAACATAATCAACATTTCTTGTAAATATTTTATCATGTTTCAAAAGCTGATCTGGCTTTTAGCATGGTGGAAGGAAAAAACATAGGTGTGCTATTCCCGTCATATTCTGACGTCACTTGGATTGCAAACAAAAGATCACCTGATTATAACTGTCAAATTAGTATATGTATTTGTTTTGATTTGGTTGTTATTGTTTTTATAATGTGTGTTTTTATAAAAAAAAACATTAACAATCAAATCAAAACAAATACATACTAATTTGACAGTTACAATCAGGTGATTTTTTGTTTGCAATACAAGGACGGGAATAGCACACCTATGTTTTTTCCTTCCACCATGGGCTTTTAGTGTGTTGTAGAAATGTTTCCCACTTATAGTCGCAATAGGTTCTCCATGTTGGTCTTTGTCAATGATAATGTAGTTTGCGTGGTATCACCCATTGTCGCCAGTACGTTTACAAATTTCAGTCTTTATTTTAATAGCACCAAATAACCATTAACTACCTGATTTTCTGCATAACCTCTCTGTCACAATTTTACAATTAACATATGTTCTTCTTCTCACTTAAAATTTCTGACAACAGCTGGAGTTTCATAACAATGTTTGTTTCCCATGTTAATCTTATGGAGAAATACAAAACTTTAAAGGGCCCCAGGTCCTCACTCTCTAATTATTTCCCTAAAAAGAAAGTTTCTTGCACAACTTCACGTTATGCTCTTTCCAATGACACCAAAAACATGTCAATCGGTTCAGTAATTTCAAAAGTAATTGTCACAAAAAACCTGCTTGCGTATTTAATAAGTATAGATTTAACCCTTAGAGTGCCAGGCGAGAAATAAAAGTAACGCTCAAAAAATGCCGATGATTATTCCCGAAGGTCGCGCTTAAAATGCAGAGCGCGATCTGGCGATTTTTAGGTTAAAATTTCGTAAAAATCGAATTTTCGATATTTCGACCAACGAAAATCGATGTATCACATCTAGTAACTTTTGACTCAATGTTAATATATGGGTTAAAAGAATCCGAGTATCCATTCGGTTGTTATGACAACTGTTCGATCATTACGAAACGTCCGGTCAGCCGGACGTTGGCACTTTTGGCTCGTTCTAAAAACGTCCGGTCGGCCGGACGTCGGCACTTTTGGCTCGTTTTAAAAACGTCCGGTTCCCTGGACGTTGGCACTCAAAGGGTTAAAAAAATTAGGTACATCAATCTCCTTAAAACCAAATCACAAATCCTTCAATCACTCAAAAGTCACAATAAATCATTAATAAAAACACAAACATTAGCTGTTATAAACTCTAGAATATTGTTATGCCTTTTTAATAGTGTGTCATCAAAATATATAAAAAACAACATTTCATTTCATATAATTTTATTCATTTCAGTACATCAATACAGGAATAGCGATCTATACTATATAAAGTTGGAAATGATTAATTTACCAAGTATCGAAATATAAGAAGGTTTCTACTGACTTATACAATCCCCGCCCATAGAACAGGCACCCTGCTAGTTAAATATCAAGATATCTCTTGTTACCCAAGACAAGGTAAGTTAGTGAAAGTAATCATTTTAACAAACATAATAAACAGTATTTTTTTTACCAGGCAGAAGTACAAACAAATATTAAAAATGTAAGAAAAAATCTTCATAAAAACAATAAAATTATCTTAATTTAATAATCTAAATGAGAAAAAAATGTAAATACTGATGTTCAAAATAAATGTTAAACTAATCAACATAATGGATCCAAACTGATTTGTCTCCACTTCTTCAGCCTCCTCTCCCCCAACCTCCATGCCTCCATCGCCATCCACCCTGTCATCAGGCCTGGATAGTGGATATAACAGAACAAAAATTAATAATTAAAACAGTATTCTGAACAAAGAGTCTTTTTATGCATACTTCTATCATTATTTAATGTAGGCTACTCAGTGGCGTACTGAGGGGGGGGGGGAGGGCGGTTTGCACCAGGCACCACACCAACATAGGCCTCCAAATCAGGGCCGTATTCCCCTAACAGTGGACACTGCGATTGCCAAGGGCTTCGGCCTGGGAAGGGGACTCACTTGGGGCCTCAAAAGAATGCTTTTTCTCTTGGAAAATAAATTTTCCCACAATCTGTTAGAATTAGGGGGTACAAATATCCAAGTTTGTCTTGTATTCTCATGATAGCCGAAAGCGTCTGCAAAGATTGCGTGATCGAAATTTACGACTACCAGCGATCGCGGGTGACGATAATCAGGCCTCGCAACCGCGAAAGATGTTCACGATTGCACCGAGGATGCCCACAATTTTAACCATTGGCGACCTTGGGAGATGAAGATGATGACCCTGCAATCACGATTTGGTCATTACCGAGGACAATATCGTTTAATTTTGCCACAATTGCAGTAACCGTTTGGATCAATACATAAGTGCCGACCCATATAACCCATTTTGTATAGGACAAAATATAACGTACAGAGTGTGGCAAAATTATCTGACAGTTTTCTTTGCTGCCCTGTCGGGCGAGTGACTGGCGGAAGGTGGTGGGGACAGGGCCGCTTCAAGGCCTACGAGCGGACATTTTTAGTTGCCATGGAGCTGGTCATCACTGAAACAGAAGAGTATTTTGAAGGCTTTTCAAGTTTGTAGGGTACTATTTATTTGGACATAATTTGAACGAGGTTGGAGAAACTTTAAGATAAGTGTATAGAGCTGAATAAAAGGAGATTATAGCAAAATAAATCAAATTTATCACAACAAATTGTGTTATTCTATATTCTTCTAGGTCTTATTGAACCACGCTTGTACTAAATACCTTATTGATGTATGAGAATTTTTGGTTTCAACTGCTTCTGTTGACAGGGGCTTTTCCATTTGTCTTAAAATTTATTGTTGTTTCAGTACTTACCAAATGTAAAAACTATGACATATTCAGAAAAATTATAGTTATGGTGTCAAAAAATATAGCCTACATTTCCTAAAAAACAAAAGCAAATTTTTGGGCACCTCTCGAGTTAAAATGCTGGTTAAATACTAGTAATTCAGGAGGGTTATGCGACATAGGCTTGGGGGCAATGGACACGGCCCTGGTTTTATAAGTATTAAATTTAAGTAAATGGCAAAACTTACCATTAGTTAGTTCTCTTCAATCTTAGTCTTTACTTCGCCCCATCCTCGATCTCCTCTTCCTCTGGCACCTCTCCCCTGTATTCTCCAATGTCGGAGGATATTAATTACAACGCCCCCATTTTACTGGTAGGCTTCAGTTCTGTACAGAAATATTGCAAAAAATAGTGTTATACAAATAATTTTAGTCCAACAAATAATACAAGTGTGTACACTCCTTTCTATATTTGCGATATTCAAATAGGTACAGCTAATAGGAAAATGTTTGAGCAAATCTGGGTCAAGTTAGTACAAATATTAGAATTTGTAACAATAATTTGGTTTAGACAAAATAAATTGGTTTAACTTGTTCGCTACCACAATTATATGGAATTTACGTTCGCATAGACCACCGACGCATATTTGCGTCAGCTGATCACATTGAAATAGACTAACGACGCACACTTGCGTCGGTGTTCAATGTTATTAATCAGCGTATTTCTTAGCAACGGTCTATTTTAAAGCCCTGATTTGATCGTATCGGTCTAGAGGGATATCTGCCGCAAATGTGCGTCGCTTGGTCTGTGGATATGACGATTGGTTACGTCACACAACAGTTGGCAACATTGTTGTTTACATTGTGCATTCCGCGACATCTCAGAACAGATGTAAACGTTATAACCTTTGCAGTTTTGGCGAGTGGTGGAGTTTCTTTATTTGTTTGTGTAAAAGCTTGAAACAACCAAATTTACAACGACGCTTAAACGTGTGTCGCCTGGTCTATTGAAACGAAAATGTAGGTAATCTTTTTATCTAGATTTCATTAAATAAACTGACCGACGCATATATGCAGCGTTTTGAAAGTTGCTCCAAACGATAAATAAAAACAATATTTATTGCTTACTTATTCACTTAAGGTTAATATGAAGTCAATTCGTCCATTTAAACGATATTTCTCTTTTGGTCTGTTGGCAATGTTATTCCTATATCACTTGGTCTGTAAGCAACGTCATGATCATTCCTTTTGGTCTGTAGGAGTGACCGGACCAACGCATATGTGCGTCGCTCGGTAGCGAACGTGTTAAACATTAATTATTTGTTATTTCCCAATTTGCAAAAATGCAAGCTCTAGCCTAATTAAGACATTTCCAAACAACATGTTTCGAGATGTATCCAAATACATTTTAAGTAGGGGCCTAGTTTTAATTTTTTATAAAAAAAACTATAAATTTGCATAAAGATTATAATTAATTATCCTTATGTTCCACCAAAAACTATTAATAATAGTTTATTTGTGTAGGTAACTAGTGGGCGAAGTGGCACTTTGCTACACATAAGAGAAATGTTTAGGCCTACGCACGAGCCGTAGGCGAGTGTGGAAAGTTTCTCGAGTGCAGCAAAGGCAGTTTGCACTTGTGATACACATAATATTTTCCCTAAAGTTACCATAAAACATATAAATAATTAGTTGTTCAAACTCTGTTTAACACTAAATGAAATTATTCAGTTTGGATCAGTTTCTATGGTTGTCGATAATATGGAACCCACCCAAATATGGACAGTAAGTTTAGGCCTAGGACATAAAAATGTTCTTTCCATTTATGATAACCCAACCTAACATAACCGCCGCAAAGCGCTGTATAGCCTATCTGTAGCCTCCGGATAATACTTACCAAAGTACCGATTTGAACATTGAATAACTTAGTTAACAAACATAGCCTAGAATCTATCACAAAGGGGAAAAAATGTTCACCTCACTTAAGTTATGGTTAGACCAAGTAACATTATCACGGCAGTATGGTAATTGCCTCCAGGGTCCACAACTCTGGTCTCTCTTTCTCTCTCATCTGCAGTGATGTCGATGGCAATGTCGTCCAGAAAGGTTAGTCCTCTTAACTTATTGGTTCAAGACAATATTTAAAATAGAGACCAATTTGGGTTCAGGTCAAATTACAGCCTTTGCTCCAGGATCATCTATAAAATTAACATTGATGTCATCAGCAATGAATTATATAATCCAAGTCTAGTCTTACACCAAATACAAACAGCTCTAGAATATTTGACAGCACATAATTTTACGTCCTACACTCATTCCAATGAATATATTTCTTTAATACTTTCTTACTTATTACTTGGCGACCATACAAAGTATAGTCTGATTTTTACTGGAGTGCGGCTGGAGCTCAGCCCTACCTGTGAGGGACCCGACTCACGCACGCAACCTACTACTGCAACCGACTACTGCACACTCACCACCGTCCTAATTGCCTGAAAGCCCCGATCCCCTATTCACTAAGTAGAAATATAAGATCTGTTGTAGGCTATGATACCTCAAAATTGCAATTCATTTGATTTTAGATATACAGTAAAATGGTTAGTGTTAATAAATTTGTTGTTTAATTCAATGAAAAATGAGTCCAAACACGAAATGATTATGACAAGTAGCTAGCTAATAAAAACGTGTTAAAATATTCGTAGCTTTTACACTTTGTAAGCAAAATATATATTGTTTGGTAGGTATCATTTTACTAAGCATTTTGAGCTGAAGTCAAAATCGTTACCACATTTTATAACAAACGTAAAATTAAAAAAAATTATAGTTCAATTTCCGTGAGCCAGCGATGACTCGTGCGGCAGGACAATGGTCCGTCCCACGTCCGTCCTAATCCCTTGCGTCTGTGTGTGTGAGGCCTGCGTGTGTGAGAGTATGGTCGACCCTTCAGCCAGCCGCTTTCCGTCAACAATCACACTATAGGTACCGTATTTTAAGCCAAGTATGAATGGAAATGAGTGTAGGATCAGGATGAGTGGCGCGATCTTATAGTCTTGTTAGTGACTAAGGCCGACATTCCTTAGACACAGCTGTTAATTAATAGCCCATACAGCTAATGGCAACTAAGGGACCTACGGTTTATAGTGGAATCCGAACCACATTATTGCCTTGGTATATACGAATTGGTCTAATTATCAGGATAGTACTGCGGATAGTCGTAGTACTCACTCGTGCGGACGTTAATCCACACCAGGGAGTATCGCATCCACAGTGCATGCCTATAAATATCCACAATTCGTGACCTCCTAAGTAGTTGGATTACAGGACGACGCCACCCGTCCCAGTCATATTGATTATTTCATTCAATAAACTTAGGCCTATATCAATTTTGGGTAATGTTAGGGTAAAACTTAACCTAACTAACGGAATGAAATATTCAAAATATTAAATAGTCTTGTATTAATATCTTTCATTTGAATGAATGTAGGACATAAACTAAAGTGCAGCCAAATATTTTTACATAAACAAATTTTTAAAGTTGACACTGGGTCAGTGGGAAAAAGAGACAATCCTAATAGCCTAGGGATAGTGCCTATTCAAACATTTGCTACAATATTGCATTCAGCAAGGGGTTGCGGCAGCAAGTCCTTAATTTGCCACCCTTTCACCCAGGACCGATATTATTTTCATTTTGATGTCACTATGGGACAAAAACACAATTCTTCTTGCAATTGATTGGAATATCTTTGGATAGCTACAAATTGCTTGATGATCCAGAATTAGCCTACGAATAAGCTGTATCTTAGGTTCTTGTTGGTGACTTACCTAAGTTAGTGTCTGGTAGGACTACTTAATGTTATTAAGTTATCACGTTGATTACGTTTTTTACCAAATAAAAATTAACTTATTTCACATTATTCCTTAAAAACTATTGTTTGTAACACTCGAGTTCTCTATTTTCTTGTAAACAAGGAAAGAAATAAAAAAGATAAATATTTACAATATAAAAGTTTTTAGTCAATAAATGGCCAGCTTGAAGATACGAGACCTTGAACATATCCGTCGGAATTCGGAATCAAATATTGCGACTCGTGAGTTGAGGAACTGAACGATGAATTAGAACAACTCCTTTTCAAGAGTAGCTCCGAAGAACGGGTGCTTGTCGATATACTGGGACTATTTCAGTGTCGACAAAATGAAACTATTTCATTGTCGACAATATGGGATGTCGACAATTTGTGGTGTCGATCATTTGCGACGTCGGTTATTTGGGATGTCGGTTAAGTGGGAATATTCCAGTGTCGACAAACTGGGAATAATTCAGTTTCGATCAATTTCTACGGTTGTCGATATTATGGAACCCACCCAACTTTCACAATTTAATAATACCCCCACCGCAGCAAACCTGCCGACTAAGCGAATTTCCATTTGTCTGAATTGATTTTCAGTTAAATATATTTTAATAACATTGGGTTTAACGAGTACCTAGGTTTGCTGCTAAAAGGAAACTAATAAAGTGTGTTTTTGAGTAAAACATTGATAGCTTAGTACAAAATAAATAAATTTGCCAAGTTTGATCAAAATATATATATAAACAAGCAAACTACAACATTTGACAATATTCTCCATAAGAATAACATGGGAATTTTAAATTTACAATTTGTTTAATTTTCTCCATTACTAATAATCGAACAAAAATACTTTTATATACTAAATTATTTGTTTTTTTAAGCTCTTTAAAAAGGAAGAGAAATCGGGAAATTTTGTGTTTTAAGGGTCAAAAGTGAGAAAACCCAATTTTTACCCCATAAACCCCCCCGTAAAGCCCCGTTCCCATGGTTCGAGTGTGCTGGTTCGCGAACTCATTCAAGTTTATCCCGCTTTACACCTTTAAACCAAGTTTCATCAAAATCGGACAAAAATTACTCAATTTATCGCGTTCACGGACGTATATATAACACAAATATAAAAATTTGAACGAATGGTGTTTTTGGCCTCTGGGGACATCAAAATGAAAAAGTAAATCGGTCCCGGGTCTAGGTCTTACCGCGCCACCTACGGTAATAACTACTTCCCTATAGGGAAATTCGCTAAAAATTATCGAGGAACAAAATTACTTTGTGTACATATAAAACTGTTTGTAAGTAAACAGAACAACAGGCTGAGAATTAGATGAAAAGTGTTATCATATAGACAATAGTTATTTGTGCAACTAGTGAGAAAAGTGAGCAATTGACTCACTCGAGAGAAACACAGAAGTGAACTTTTAATATAACATTTAATGTGAAGTGACAAATACAACAGTACAACAGCTGACCAGCTGATTTACAGCCAGTGCTGCCAACGTATTTCGCGCGCATACGACGTTGCCTGCATGTTACGCGCTCACTATTTCGTGCCTTCACGTTGCAAATCTTGAGTGAGACAAAGTAATTAGAGTGAGACAATGTTAACATTGTCTCACTGATGAGCGAATTGGCCACTTTTGCTTTCTCAAATCAGTGAGAGAACATGTACATTGTTAGGTAACTGTAGGAAAAGTTTAAAAACTATACAAAAATACAAAAGACCCATATAAATGTACAATAATAGCCTAAGCTATGACTGACGTGTGTGAACCGAGAGTTCACCCCTTCTCTTCAATGATTGAGAATGAAGAAGTTAAAAAAAAAATAATTTTAACTACTGTAGCAACTATAATTCTTTATAGTTAATTAAAAATACAGTTGGTGGGTGCTCTGAAGTACAGGGGCTCGTGGTTGTCTCGGTACCAGCATAAACCACACTTCACACTTAATTAGCTGTCTCATTAATGACTCCAGGAAGAGCCTGATAGCTAAAAACCATGATGAACCTGCCTAATATCAGAGAAAGAATTTATGTGGTATGTGTACCTCTACCACTCGACAGCTTGTCCCAAAGAATTATTGCCCCACTCATTCCTTTGTCTCTATTTGACAGTTGTGCTATGTAGGTATTGTACAGGAAAAAGCAAATACATCTTTTTCTTGCTGCTGACCCTATGCAAATTATAATACAGTACGGTATCCATAATTTCCCCATTTCTATCTTAATAATGCACTAAACTACGCAGATCATATAACATAACAGGAAAGGGACGCAAAACACTTTAGCACCAGGGCTCCCCACACTCTTGTTTCTACACGACACTAGGATCAGTAAACTGTGTATAATATCAAACCTTGTATAGCAACATCAGCAACATCTTATGCATTTTTAACGACTCTTGTTAAGAAAATTAGTGTTGAGAAAATAGAGTTTGTGAGTCTTAGTGAACTTGACCTTATTGATTTGTTTTCTTCTAAATGAGGATAGGCTCAAAAACAGTGGTGGTTCTAAGACCTTGAGGGACCAGGGAGTTCAGGAGATGTGCGAAGCCTCAGGCTTTAGCTCTAGCTCCTATAGCCCCCCCCCTTGAAACCACCACTGGGCTCAAGACAACAGACATGTCTCTTCCTAATGTCAAACAAGTGGTAACATTAGTTTTTTCTATAAATGTTTACCGTTTTCACCAGTTTGAGAATAGGCATAGACATTTGTATTTGGGTATTTGTCTTGGTCTCGTGATTCTATTCTCATCTGGAGGAAAAAATCTACTGTAAGCTGTTATTCTGTAAGAAACTTACGGCTGAGCAAGTGGCTAAGGATTCCATATGTACTCTTTGGGACGCTATAGCTAAGATGTTTTACATTTTTAAAGGCAGATACCAAACAAACTGTCATTAAGCTATGGTTCCACAGACTGCGGAATCTCCGCCGTACGGTGCGAAATTTTCCGCTGCGGAATTACAAAGACACCGGTTTAATGGAGTTCCCCTGTGTGCGGTTCCACTGACGCATGTTTACGTGTCTGGAATTTTCGGTTCCACATGGTGGACAAATCATACTGGTCTGAGAGTAGTAGCAGTGCAGAATCCGCCAGCGGAGAGGAGCCATTAATTATTGTGACCGGGAAAACAGGTAATCTGTATTTACCATTTACTATATTTACCACCCAAAAAGAAAAATTGGTCTTTTGACACACGGAAGTACCTCTTAAAATATGATTCGTTGTCTACTAAATGTTTACGAACGAGTATGTTGTAAGCTCCTTCACTGTCTTGATTCATATCACTTCGATCACTATGACTTGACATCAATTAGATATCAACAACATCATCATACAGTTAAAGCCATGAGGGCTTTCCTACTCTTCCTAACCATACTCGCCGCTAGTTTGGACAGAACTGAATTTTCGCAACGTTATTTCCGCAGTCAGAAGAACCACCCCTCCAGATTTTACCCGGCGTAATTTCCACAACAAAAAATTTCGCACCGCACGGCGGAAGTTCCGCAGTCTGTGGAGCTTTATACCTATGCTTATTTTGTAAAACTATTGGCTATATGAAATTTGATTTCATGGCTTAAATAATTACATTACAGTCTAATGGCTGTAGCATTTATTGCTGCACACCAATTTCTATTATTGCTAGTGACCATAGGGTAAAAAAATTTAAATTAGGACAATAAATCATTAAGCATTGCAGATTGGTAATTTTCAACTCTTTTCCCCCATTGTAAAACAAGCTGTAAAACAAGTTTTTTGTCCCTTTTGAAAATGAACTGAGCAAAAAGCCAAATTAGCCAGTAAACTGAAGTCCTGTATTAAACAATTATTATGTAGTGTTTGATTTGAAATTCTATTCATCGGTTGGATCTAATTTAAAGTAATCAATCGGTTTTAATCTAATTTTTCTGAAATTGTGAAATGGACATGGGATTCTCCAGACAATCATCATACCAGTTTTTTAACTCAAAAATCGTTTGATACTTTTATTGAAATATAAATCCAATAACAGTTAAATGGAATGTCATACATGTACGGTACTACTATACTAAAACTGGATCGTATTTTTCGTACCATAGAATTTTTTTAATCGGACATCTTTTTAATATATATGACGGTATAGTAAATATCATACTTTTCCTCCCACTTGCACTTTTACCATCTATATACTTTTACTAAATTCGAAAGCATCAAAATGGAATGTGTTTTCAATAGAAAAAACTAAAGCAATGATGGTTTTAACCCTTCCAGGGCTATGGACGGATATATCTGTAAATCTTTGTTTACTTTCCCTTTCCGGGCTAAAAACGGATAAATCCGTCTCGAGAAATGTCTTTTCTGGGCCAAAGACGGATATATCCGTCCAAAAAATGAATTGATATACAATGTTTATAATAGGGTAATAAACATTACACTGCATTATAAATGGGTTATTTTGTTTTTGTGGTTGGCAATAATAATTGCCGCGGCTGTTTCAGCTATTTTGCACCATAGAGTGTGTAAGTAAATATTGCTGTCACTTCACACATGGTTGTTAGTGAGTGATGTTTACATTTTGTGTTTTGTTCTTAATTTTTATGTTATATTGAGCAAATGCAAACGATCTGAAATTTGAATATGTTATTGAGATGCTTAATAAAAGTATGTCTGAGGGGGGTTTTATACTTGGCAGTGAAAATAATAGTATGGAATGTGATGGATATGATGAACCTGAAGAACAGTCTTAACATAGTGGAAGTCTTGGCGGGGAATGGGATTGAGGACATGGGAGCGGAACTGAGGGGTTTAGATTAACTTCAGAATGATAGATTCATTTTTATGGATAAAAAATAAAACAATGGGAAGGAATAGCCTACGGTTGACGGATATATCCGTCTGCCGCCCACCTTATGTTTTTTGTGGGCCAAAGACGGAAATATCCGTCAAATCAAATTTTATTTTCTTCATAACTTTTGTACAAAAATTAGTTCAGCCGTAAGGAAAAGCTTTTTATGATCCATGAATTATTTCAAGTGAAATAAATACAAAACACAACCACTTGAGTTTTTAATTTTTGGCAAAAAATAATTTAGCTCCAGCCCTTCGCCATTTAATTTAGCCCTGGAAGGGTTAAAAAAATCGTGACAAATTACTAAAAAATAACTGTCTTGACTTAATGATAAACTAGTTTCATTTTTTAAACTGCAGGACAGTTAGGAAGATTACACAAATCATTGCCACATGTTTACTGATTGTCACGGCCAAAACTTGAATACTTGGCCATGAGCCTGAAATGGTTGGCTTCGGTTGCAAAGGACATGCATAGATCTGAAGGTCACAAAACCATCAATCATTATCATGAGAGAGCAGCCTTGTTGTGCTCTAATTAATTATTGCCATTCTAATTTTAAGAAAGTTTTCTCTTAGTCAGTACCTAATAAAGCTTAAATCATTACACTTGAATTATACGTTCAATTCAAATGTTAGATGGAGTATAGATTGCTCCGGCAAAAAGTGGTCCAGATAAAAATGGCTACTTTACTTTTACTGAAGCATTATACATACGGACACGCGGTAACTGAAAAGGACAAATATGTATGATGTAAAAGAGGTGTAAAAGGCCTTTTGAACCCTCAATAATGATATGTGTTTAAGTCCAATCTATAAAGCTTCTAATTTTACCCCGAGACATAACACACCAAGGAATAATTATCCACTAAGCCATGTACAATTCTCATATTACATGGACTTTGGTGTATACAAAGGGACATCAAATATAAATCCATGGTAGAGAAATGTTTGGTCTTACAGATATAAGAAGTAAAGAACATGATGAGTCTGCAAGAGAATATTTTAAAAAGTAGGTATTCTAGCTGTTTATGGTCTATTCTACTATATAGTTTATGATCTTGATCTATAAGGTTTGTCAAGCCAAGTATAAACCAAATAAAAAAGACTTACTTCACTAAAATAATTTGGTTAGAAAGGAACGACACAGCACAAAACAATTTACGTACTTTTATTTTGTATTGTCATCACTTGTGTAAAAATCAGCTTTCACAACAGCACAACATCATTTCATAACAATCATAGTAAAAAGTTTGTTAGTCAAATGTAACAATCAACATTAAAATAAGAAATTCATGTCTGTATAACACGCGATAATTACTAACTAAAAATAAAACTATAACTTTTTTAACAACGATATATAATTTATTCCTAACAAATGACTCGATGGATCTAAGTCACATACACGAGGAAGAAATGTGGCAAGAAACAGCCATCTTAGTTAAACAAACGGTAAAAAAACTTACACTTTATACAATCTGTACAAATCACATTTCACATTAGTATTAACACGCTAGGACTGGAAACTGATCACATTTTAATATCAGATCAGTCCAAAATTAGCTTAAATTTAAAAATTGTCTTTAAAAATTAAAAAGCTTTCAAAATCATAAGGTCACTGACTTTTTCTTATTTAGTGTACACTTTCAGTAACATGCACTCCATGAAGGCTATTTCCAAGGTGGGCTTATTGTACGGGTACCAAGTATTTGTAAAACGTACATCAGATATATTATTTCACCTTATAAAGGACTATACCTAGGGAATTAGTTAGCCATTTCTAATTATTACAAATTGTCAAAGACATATTGCCACAATAACAGGCAATAAGCTTTCAAAATTCGAAGTCACTTTGGGGGTATCAGAAGATGTATACAAAATATCAAAAATACTTGATAAACCAATGTAGAATCTGTGTTTTCTATTACCTCTCAGAAAATACACTCTTATTGTCAGGTATAAAGACAAAATAACTGTATGCCTGAAATTCCAGTCAAGCGCATTGTCAAAGATTATTTTACATACTTTTTCACAAGTTCACTGTTAGAAGCAGTGTACTGCACTAAATTATTTTGGCACAACAAACATCATCACCTTCAAACAAAAGTTTCTATTGCCTTGTTTTTGATTTCGATCATTGCTTGAATAGTGCAGCTCAACAAATGGCACAGTCAAAAGATATTTGTAATCAGCTAAAAAGTTTATATAGATTACAATGTTAAAAGGCAAAGTCATTGTTTTTCATCTGAGGAGATTCTGAGGAGCATTACTGTAATCAATATAACTGAGGCATACCAGAACATTTTCTCAACAAATTAAATAGGCTACTCCTAAATTTTGAAACTTACACTACATAATAAAATTGATCAAGGCACTTATCTGTGGTATTTTCCTAAACGTCACTTGTATAAAAAAAATGTTTACGTACATTGACCAAATCACATCAGTTCATGGTGACAAACGTACCTAACCTCAAATCTACAAAGTACGCATTCACAATTCTTTCTCACAGTTTACAAAATGTACAGGTACATAGGAATATGTACACCTTCCGGGAGATAAATATCCCGGATAGAAGGTTCAGCCGTTGGTTACAACCCTTGAGGCTAGAAGTCTGCGTCCCAGCCACTGATATCATCGGGCGGAGGTCCCTCAGCGTCTGGTGGATACTCATCAAAGTTACCCGTGTCTACAACGCTGCGTACCTTCGGCAGGATGGGTGGGATCAGCGTTCGGTTACGCAGACCTTCCCAGTTGAACCCATCAAACCATCTGGAAATGTCAATCATGATTCATATAACTAACAAAATAAAAACATAAATAATGCATTACTTAAATTTTTGTAAACTTCCCATATAGAAAAAAAAGCTACTTGATAATTATGTGGGTTTTCACGCTGTTAGCAATGTTTATATTTTTTGTAAGGGAACGGTTTAAACTGTGATCTTGTTAATACTTTACATCATCCTTTTGCAGGTTAGCATAATGAATTGAAAGACCAGATAGCATCAAGGTCATAACCCAATTTGGGATCGAATCTGCAATTTTTAAATTTGAAGGCGAGTGCTATAACCAATTTGCAACCAAGATAGTGTTTGGACTAAGTGTTTGAAGTTTGACTGACTGCTACAGGTAGTGTTTTGACTGTTCAACTTTATAACTTGCAAACCCTTCTAATGGTACAGACAACCATTGACTTTCTGACACTGAGGTCGTCTAGACATCCAATCTATATGGACCAGTTGTGAATATCGATTGGTCCATTTCGCCCTAAGCTACTTACTTGTGTTTCTGAATTTCACTGATGCCTCCTTTTTGGTAACCCAACCGTTCTGCTGGGTTGTCTCTGTAACAAATTGTTATAATCATTGAACAGTGAAATCATATTTTTCAAAGAAAATGCCAAAAAATTAGTGTAAAAGGAACTTTAGTTTTACTTAGTACTAAGTTGGTCAAATGAGCAAAATAAAAACAGTCGGAAATGCTATAAAACAGATGCAATATGAACTTCAGAACTCTGTCAAGTGATAAAATACTGAAGGATAAACAGACGTTAAAGTGAACGTCAATTGGGGGAAAATGATTTAATAAACAGGAAAATAAATACATAACCTAAATATTTTTAGGACACATTTAGCTGAAAAAATGTATATTTGAACACTAGGAGTGGTACTCATTATTACCTCCATACATGTGATGGGGATTTATGAAATGACCATCACATAACTAACTATTGTCATATCAGGCCACTCTCTATTAGATAATCGGAACATTATATTGCTGCATCTTACAAAATATGAAAAATGGAGCAATAATGTTAAAACACTATTCAACTAATACTAGATAGTGGATTGAAAATGCCAAAGTTGCATAATTTACATATTAGTAAATAAGTGGTTAACAAAGACTAAACAGTTTTCATAGTAAAAAGTTGGTAAACAAATTAGGAGTATATTATGCCAACCTCAATCTATAATATTTTTATTAGCACTATAATCCTTCAGACTTTAACATAAGTTCAAGGTAAGCAGAATAAAATTGCAGCAAAAACAAAGATTTGTATTGTGTGTTAGGCGTACCTGCACAGCTTCTTGATGAGAACGGTGGCATTACGAGTGATGTTACGAGGGAACTCGATGGCATCTATGCCTTTGAGGATGATGTTGTAAGTCTTCATTGGATCTGCACCAGTGAAAGGCGGGGTTCCTGTAAAATAACAAATTTAAATCATAGTGGATGAAGACCAAACGTAGCTGGTGTCAGACATGAACCCTGACAGGAGCTTGATGGAGATTTTTATTTACAAACAGCCCTGGTATTTTTATTATTATTTTTTTCCTAGGACGCTAGGCACGAGCCCGGAATTGTTTTTCACATTGCTTCAGGCTAGACCTAGGGGTTACGGCAATATCACTTACTTAGATAAAATCTATTGGTGATTTGGTGGGGTTGGACCCCAGGAACCGGAGTCTCGAGCTCTAACCACCGCTGAACAGCCCTGGTAGTGGTAATAATATACTACATGACAATACTGAACTTATGAGTTAGGTTGATGTTTACCTGTGAGCAGCTCGTACATGAGGACTCCCAGGGACCAATAGTCTGCACTGATATCGTGGCCTCTGTTAAGAATCACCTCAGGCGCTACGTACTCCGGCGTACCACAGAATGTCCATGTCTTGCGGCCGTGCTATAAACAGAAACACAGACTGGTAAAACTACAAAAACACTATTTCTTAGTTTTGTTTGAATATTTTTAAGTCAGGGATTTTTTTTAAGACTAGGCCTATTTGAAAATTAACATATCCAGAACTGACATTGCGAAGAGTCAAGCTGTTTTAAAAACATATTTTTTACATTGCATATTTAAATGTGAATTACAAACAGGATTCAATAATATTGTCTCATGTTTTTGGTCTGGTAGGACCCAGGTAATCTAGCTGTCGAAAGCGCCGGAACCACCATTGTTGACCTGACTACTGTCCTCGGTGTTGAGAGCACCTCATTATTCAGGTTAGTTAAAAGTTTGTTGACTAGCTTCTAAGCCAAGTGGTTCAGCATCTGAATTTTAGTATTGAAGGTCTGTATTTTTGAACCACATTTTTCATTTTATGATCAACTGTTTTAACATAGTACCTGGGGACCGAGCTTTGCTCGGGGAAAATCATTAGTTCACTCTGAAAGCAGTCTTAGTATTGGAGATACATAAATCCATTCCCAAGTTCCACACGGCTCGCCTTTTACTACGTCCTACACCATTTCCTACATCATGGACCTGTTTCCCTGCATTCCCATAGCACTTTAGGATTGTAGATACCTTAACCCTCCAAGTGTCCATAGTTTAGGCCTTAATGTCCACCTATTTTTGGCGCATTTGCAAGGTTTTATTAAAACGGATCTGAGAAGCTTAAAACAATGTTAATTCTAATGTTCTATATACCATTTTGTTTGGAAAATCATGGGCTTCAATATTATATATAAAACATAAGGAACATTTAAAAAAAAAAAAAAAATTTTAGGTAAAAAATATAATTTCGAAAATTTTCAAAAAAAAAAATAAGTTCGCGCTCAATGAAATTGTATAAATTATAGGCCTATAAATATTTGAAAATAGCCACTTTGTTCTTAATTTTATGAGGATTACAAATATATAATAATATAAGGAAGTATATTTGCAAATAAATAAGTTATGGGCAAAAAACTGATTTCAGTACATAGCGTTTAGCTAAGAATGCATAGCCTAACCATAGCTAGGAATCTGGCTGATAATTTACATCAATATCACTACCTACTTCTTCAGGATCATCAACCAGCACTTCAAAACCACTTAAATCTTCTTATAATGCACCACGTATATCACTACTTTTGATTTTTAACACTAAAACAATGATAAACGTAATAAAACACATCAGTCATCGGTCCGGGGGAACCTAGCTGTTTACAAATACACGCACGTCAGCTGTCTGCTACAATATTTTCGGAACTAAAATGAATAGCGCTTAGAGACAGACCTCTGGAGAAAGCTTAGAATATTACGGAAAGAACGATACCTAACTCGATCCAGTTCAATCCGATTCAGTCAGTCATAGAGCCTTCGCCGTAAACGATGTCTGCGTGTCGAAAAATCGACAAGTAACACTACACAAAGTGTGCTGCTTGTCGAATTTTCGTCAAATAACACTGGGAGGGTTAATCTAATCGTTATTAACAGACACCACACTCCGGACAGCTCGCCTTGACTACACTTCCTTCACCACTTACAACGTAACGGGCCTGTTTTCCTCCCTTCCCATAGCATTTCAGAATTGCAGACACCTTAATCTAATCGTCATAAACAGTTCCCACACTCTGGACTACTCGCCTTGACTACTTCCTTCACCACTTCCTACGTCGCGGACCTGTTTCCCTCCCTTCCCATAGCATTTTAGGATTGCAAATACCTTAATCTAATCATCATAAACAGTTCCCACGCTCCAGACAGCTCGCCTTGACTACTTCCTTCACCACTTCCTATGTCACTGGCCTGTTTCCCTCCCTTCCCATAGCATTTCAGGATTGCCCATACCCTTATCTAATCGTCATTAACAGTTCCCACACTCCGGACAGCTCGCCTTGACTACTTCCTTCACCACTTCCTACATCGCGGACCGGGTTTCCTTCCTTCCCATAGCATTTTAGGATTGCAGATACCTTAATCTAATCAACATAAACAGTTCCCACACTCCGGACTGCTTGCCTTTACTACTTCCTTCATCACTTCCTACGTCACGGACCTGTTTCCCTCTATTCCCATATTATTTTATGATTGCCTTTACTACTTCCTTCACCACTTCCCACGTCGCGGACCTGTTTCCTCCCCTTCCCATAGCATTTTAGGATTGCAGATACCCTAATCTAATCGTCATAAACAGATTCCAGATTTTGCACTGCTACCCTTGACTACAATGTATCGAGTAATCTTCAGTATAATCTTTGCTAAATATTAACAAGTGATGTTTTTCCTTTTGTACTGTATTTGTAATTTGCTAGTATACTGTGGGTAGTTGGCTTATTATGAACACATGCTACAACTTCAAGTCTTTTGTTTACTTTTTCCTTGTTATTTAATTCAGCCAACATGGTTACCTAGCAACCCATAAGACTAATGTTAAAAAATGTGATTTTCAGTTTCATTTTTCTACGTAATTAGATTTTTGTTGGCAGTTCTAACTGCAGTAAACTCGTTTTTAGGCCAGAAATAAACTATTTACAACATTTGAAGAAAATCGTCGGAGCCGTTTTTGAGATCTTGTTTGCAAGCAAGCAAGCAAGCAAGCAAGCATACATACATACATACAAGCAAACATTGCTCGTATTAGAGTATAGGATTGAGCTCGGATTGAGCATGTGGACTATTTATATGCATGAGAAGACCCCACCTTATTTGCATGGAATGTAATGTATTGGCCGATTTGCATTAGGCCTATTTATTATTATGCAAAATAAAGAGGTGTCAATCTGATAGTCCATCTCATTTAATAAACCTGTATTGTCGGTTGGTGAAACCGAGAAAACTTAGAGAGGACTACCTGACTGTTTAAGAGATTGGTTGAAAAGTTACACGTCCAAAATAAAAGAAAGAAGCGTCCTATAGGCAGGTTAAATTGAGGTTTGATCAGTTTTTGGGTAGCAGAGAGCGGGCGTTCTCAAAAAGATTTGTATGATACACACTAAAAGCCTTTGCGACTCTCTATCTTAGAGGAGCTCTTGCTATCCTCGCGATATAGTTTTAGTCCAGAGTGTTTGGTAGTTCACTCAACATTTAGCAAGGTCACTCAACTTCTAATAGAGGGTAAGAATTAAGAACACTTTCCTACTCAAATACGTGATATTTTTTTATGTTCATCCTGCCTTAAAAACCAGCACAGCATTTAAAACTTCCAAGTAGGGATGGACGGGTCCCGAAATTTCGGGAATTTTTCGGGAAAAAAATATTTCCGATTATCGGGACGGGATTACATTTGACTCGGGAATTTTTCGGGACGGGATTTGGTCCGATCGTCGGCGATTTTTCCGCTTCGCGAGTGCCGATAACGCCGTTATTGCGAGCGATAGGTCCGCGAACGCAGGAGACGAAGTCATTTCGACGATCGCGCCGTGACCGCGGAGTCCTACCGACGATCGCGCCGTGACCGCGAGTCATACCGACGATCGCGCCGTGACCACGGAGTCCCACCGACGATCGCGCCGTGAGACGAAGTCATTTCGACGATCGGGCCGTGACCGCAGAGTCCTACCGACGATCGCGCCGTGACCGCGAGTCCTACCGACGATCGCGCCGTGACCGCGAGTCATACCGATGATCGCGCCGTGACCGCGAGTCATACCGACGATCGCGTCGTGACCGCGAGTCATGACGATGATCGCGCCGTGACCGTGGAGTCATACCGACGATAACCCCGTGACCGCGGAGTCATACCGACGATCGCGCCGTGACCGCAAGTCATACCGACGATCGTGCCGTGACCGCGAGTCATGACGACGATCGCGCCGTGACCGTGGAGTCATACCGACGATAACCCCGTGACCGCGAAGTCATACCGACGATCGCGCCGTGACCGCGAGTCATGACGACGATCGCGCCGTGACCGTGGAGTCATACCGACGATAACCCCGTGACAGCGAGTCATGCTGACGATCGCGCCGTGACCGCGAGTCATACCGACGATCGCGTCGTGACCGCGAGTCATGACGACGATCGCGCCGTGACCGTGGAGTCATACCGACGATAACCCCGTGACCGCGAAGTCATACCGACGATCGCGCCGTGACCGCGAGTCATGACGACGATCGCGCCATGACCGTGAGTCATACAGACAATCACCTCGTGACCCGCGAGTCACAAGTTTCTATAGGTACCTGTAAATTGTTACCCATTTTTTGGTTTTTATAGATCAGTGCCACAAATGGTAAAAATTGATTTCGTATGTCTTTTTTGGTAACTGCAATACAGTTCTTTCTTTTTATGCACAGAAAAAAATCCCGTCCCGTCCCGTCCCGAAAATTGGGAAGGAAATAAAAATCCCGTCCCGTCCTGTCCCGAACTAAAAATTCAATCCCGTCCATCCCTACTTCCAAGTACACCATTTTGTAAACTTTCTGACCAAAGTTATTATTACAAATACTGGTAATATAAAATTCACTAAATTTAGTGATCACATTTTTATTTATGTATATCCAAGATTTTGAAATTGCATTTTTTCTCTAAATAAAATAATGATTTTTAAATCTTAAGTGAGAGGATAAGGATCTTACAGTACAGAAACATTTACAGTGCAGTACACATAAGTCTAAACATAATTTACCAGTAATTTCTTGGCAAACCCGAAGTCAACCAGTTTGACATAACCGTTGATGTCCAACAGTAGATTCTCAGGTTTAAGGTCCCTGTAGATGATGTTTCTAGAGTGAAGATAATCAAAAGCCTCGACCACGCAAGCTGTGTAGAACCTCGTAGTGGCATCGTCAAAATGACCTTTGTCCCTGAACACAACAGTCATGTTAAGCATGTAACAGAAATACTATTATTTAGAGTAAATATACAACAGCATTTGTATGTAAATATTTCATGATTAACTGATGTTTTGATTTCTTAATAATTAATTATGACAGTAGAGAAAGATGAAATATAGAGGAAACATATTGTGGTTGCTTGGTGGGGGCAATGTTATTATGGCCAGTGGTAATTTGTATGAAAAAAGAATCACAACTGCTTTTGGGTATAGAGGTTCAAATCCCTTTATTTTTTTGGATAGAACTCTTCTAATCATTTATCAATCAAGCTTTATGTTTATTTATTATTTTTTTAACCGTTACCTATTTGCAAAAATATTCACCTTACTCATTGATTTAAACTAGTTTTTAAAAGCTTTATATTGTTGCCTCTTCAAATCTGAGGTCATACAGAGTTTCTAATTTTTTAACTGTAATTAAAAGTTTAACATGATTCAAATGTCATCATTGTGGATAACTTTATTTTGTAAAATTTATTTCCAGAAGTAACCTCCAAACCAGAGAGTACTCGTAGCTTCTTATAGTAAGAAATAACTTCTTGAAATACAATGTTCCAATTTATATCAAACGTGTGGGTGTGCCCTCAACAAAATAAAAACTGAACAGATAATTGTGGCAGTGTTAAATAAGGACAAGCCAGTGTAGAAACTGTATGAATAGTGAATGGCTCAGTCAGTAATGCAACAAATAACAAATTAAAAGCAGCAATGTGGTCAGTTAACGCCTCTATGCCACCATAAAAATTTACCAGTGATTTTATTTTTGTACTGTACTCCTTGTTTGCAAGTTCTTTGCACAGGCCTAAGGAAATCGAAACGCTTCGACGTTCACGAAACGCCCAGGCCCATAAAGACATGAAGATTTAAAATAAAGAGACCATTACACTTGTTATAACAAAAATTTAGAAACATGAATACACTTTTGAAAATAATGTTCCTAGTAACACAAGTCACATACCTGAGAATAGTCCATAGTTCTCCGCCCAAGCAGGACTCCATGAGCATGTAGAGGTACTTGCGGTCTTTGAACGTCTTGAACAGTTTGACGATGAAATCACAGTCTGCTTCACTCATAATCTCCTTCTCAGACATGATGTGCTGTTGTTGTCTTGTCTCTACAATCTGCAACAACAACATAGCAACTTGTACATCGTTATTACAAACATAGGATAAAGGAAATGGATAGGCACGTGGATAATCCAGTCTCAATCATTAACTAAAATGATGACAAACTACAGATGTACAGTGCACATTGTCTCTTAAACAAGGGTGTCTGTAGGAAATTGTTGCAGAAGGGCAAACCAACGTCTTCTTCTAAGGGTTGAGGAAAATATCCTCCATCAGACAATTTTTGTATTTAATTAATTACAAGACACTGTATGCGTTTAGGGCTGTCTAGAATCTGGAATTTTCTTTCTAAAAGCTTAACAAAATACTTTAAGTCTCTATATGTTGTTTTTGAGAATCCTGAACTGATCTTCTAATATAGTAATAAACTAAATATTAAAAGTAAGTTTAGTAGTTATGACAGTAGGCACAGGCAGCTAAGGTAATCTTACGGCACTTATCTATCTGGCAATACGATACCTACACCAAAAGAGATCACATTGTTGATTCACATTGTGACATTGTTGAAAGACATATGTCACGATTAAGTGTAATGAAATATTTACATATTACTACTAAACACAGTGTTCTCAGCTGACAGAATATGTTGTTTCATTGAATATGCAATCAATAAAATAAAATAGTCACCCAACAACTTCTTTCTCCCTTTAATCTCACTTAAAAATGCTCAATCAACAAAAATATCTATAAACTAGCTGTGTACCCGTTCTACACACGCGGATCTTATAGTATTCAGTTGAAACCTTCTTATATACAGTATAAAGAACAGCAGTTGGTTTACATATTTTCAGATATGCTGGCCAAACTATTATACATAACTTCATTTTATGTTGTTTGTTGTTGTTCCGGATCGGTATGACAATCTATAAAAGGTTAAATTACCTGTGTCCGCCGGTCGATCCTAATGTATCCTATTACAGCATTTCCTATTACGCATTTTGGCGAAATTAAATCGCCATCATCAGTCCTAATATAAGGTCTTGAGATTCCCCATTAGGTGCGTCTTGGAGTTTTTGAAACACATACACGAACTGTACACTTATACACATGACGAATAAAACATAAATACACGGTAGGCCTACTTTTATTTTTACTATGGACATGTAGACGCACGTCGGTCATGTGCCGAGTCTCAACTGAAAATGCTCATTTAAAAAATGTAAGTTTCCCAGTCATATACAACACTGATTCAAGGTCTTTTCCCCAGTTATCGAAACTCAAGAACAATTTTACACACAAAGAATCTCTATTTTCATTTACGGTTACCCTACAAATTATTGCACTTGCGATTAATTAATCCGTTATGTAAGGAAAAACGTTTTTAATCTTACTTGATTTGGATTTGCTTTCAAAACAAGATCGGAATTGGTTACGGTATTTGTAAACAACATTCAATGTAAACATATCAGTGACAGCTAGAAGAAATACTCTTGATTCAAACAGCGCTGTTCGTTATTTCATAGATGAATATGTGATAAACATTGGGAGAAAACTTTACAAAAAATTGCACAAAATTGGGTTTCTAAACGTCCGTCATTTTATTTACAAAGTAGTGACGCCATATTTTAATGGCTAAAGACAATCTCGCCAATCCAGTGAATACATTAAAATGATTTGTAACTTGATAGGTAGGTACTCTCGTTTTTCAGGAGAAGGCCGCGTAAAATGGCTCTTGGGCCGTGACAGACAGGAAGACAGACAGACAGAAATTTAGATGAGATTTGTTTCGGTTTCTTTAATGTATAAAACGTAAAAATAACCTAAAAGTTTATGATTCTGAGCAATGTACAGACAAAACTCTAATTTTATTTATATAGATGAACAGCATAATAATATAGCCTATCATTATTTGGCATTTACTAGTCTCTTATTTAATAATGTACAATAACTTATAAAAATTTGTGATACAATTTTAAGTTCTGTCCATTTTTAGGAATGTCAGAGGCATATTGAAGACTTTACCGAATATTCAAGAGTACTAGCTTATAGATTACAGATGATGGTTTTAAAGGTAAAAATTACAAACCTGACTCTTCTTCATCTGTTTTAGAGCAAAGGATCTCGCTGGATCAGCAGAAATTTGTACAAGCTCTACACGACCGAAGCCTCCAACACCCAGAGTTGCCAACACTCGCAAGTCCGACAACTTAACATCCTTGAACTCCTCATTGATCCTGCTAACACAAACATGAAATATCGCTTTGAGTATTTTAGCTAATAGACTTCTCCCTTTACTGTATTTGTTCAAGGAAATCTTTCAACAAATGCAAACTTTTGAAATCATCCAATATGTTCCCTTTTCTCCCTCCATAGATTTCAATTCCTTGTTAACAGTCTGCATGTATATTCTCTTGACTTTTTAAGTTTGGGTGGTATGGTGCAGTTGTTTTGTGAATAACCCCACATTCATTCATAAACTTTTTGAACTCTAAAAAAAACTTTCTTCGACTATCAGATATCAAGATTCAAAAATTGAGAATAAACTTAAAGAAATCCTTAATGTGAGTCAAAATTTTATTATGTGTAAACAAGAAAAATAGTATTAGAACTTTACAACGCTCATTTCACATGCACATTTGTAATGTATGAGTGTATTTCAATTAGTTTTTCTGATGTAAATCAAACTAAGACATGTTAACGGCATGAACTCTTTTTTAATTGAGAGTCACAACTTGTTGTTTCAACAAACTGCAATAAGTCTCACAACTTAAACATTCACGTATATAACCAATATACATAACTCTACCAGGAATAACAAGATGAAAATATGTAAATGGTGAAAACGTGATACGTTTGATTACGGTTGCATACTTACGAAAGTGCAGGTCCTATTTGGAAGTGAGCAATGCAACAAAAACATGAACTTAATGCCAGTGATAGCTGTGCTCAGAACACATGCAATGTGCTTTGATTTGTTGCAATAGGAAAATAATCACTACAAACATGATCAAAGACTTCTGGACTTATATTGATTAAATTGGTCTCTTTCCTTATATAACAAAAAATTGAGAATTTTTTTAACTTTTGTAATTTTTTTATAATTTTATTTTGATATGAACTTTTTATAAGTGAGATAATTTTAATAAGTAATTTTTTCGAACAAGTGAAAAATTATCACAATAATTTAGGATATTTGGCTACTAAAAGTTCTCCTCATCTCTCAAAACAAGTGACAACAAAAGTAGCCTCAGTCTACATTCTGCTATTTGAAAACTGACAATTTGAGCAAAAACCAATTTGCTAACAAACTAATTTTACTTTTTTTATAAACTAATGGAGGAGTAAAAAAATATTTAAGTTAAAGAGAAATAAATGTTTCTTTAAATAATAAATTGCTAGTAAAGCTAAATTTTACTTTAGAAATTTAGTGGATGTATAAACTTTACTGACTTTTTCCTCTCGACAGCTTCATCCTTGTATCGAGTTCTGATCTCATCGAGGCTGGAGATGAGTTGGTTGAACGTCTCTCGGTCAATTACCAAGCAAGTGACGCCCTCTGGGTCGTCCGCTACTATGTTGGCTGTCCTCAGATCGTCTCTGCCAAACAAACATGGATCATCAGTAACAATCATTAACTTTACACAATAGAACCTTATGGTTTATAGTACATAGTAACATCCACTGAGAGGTACCAAAAGTCATCCTATGGGTTAGGTTAGGGTGTAAATATGGGGTTTTAAAGGATGACTGAATTAATTTAACTGTGTCATTCATAATGGTAGCTTGTAACATTTTTGGCATAAAAAAAATTTATTCAAGGTCACCCCACAAATCAAAATAGATAATCCGTAGGGAGTGTGCTGGTCTAGTGGTAGAGTGTGGGGCTTCCGTCCCCGAGGCCCTGGGTTCAAATTTCACCAAACACTAAGAAGAAGATTAAGAAGAGTAACTAATACACATCCGTTGTGGATTAAAAATTTTCATTTCTTCTTTTATTTTGCAGAAAAGTATAAATTGACACTTATTCACTTCAATGCAGAGTTGTGTCAAATGATTTAAAAAGATATTATTATTATTATTATTATTATTATTATTATTATTAAACTACTGTAATTCACTTTTACAGAAAATTGCATCAGTGCTTGAAAAAACAACCACATATTATTTTTATTATGAAGTCCAACTAACTACGTAAAACCATTTGGAAAATGAAAACTATGAGAAACATGATTTTTAAGTATTTAAAAATGCATTTTCTAACTAATGAAAAACTGACATTGGCGAGTAAAGTAAGAAAATATAAAAAAAACAGTAAACTTTTTTTGTATTTAAAATATTTGTTTGTCTTAGCTTAAACTGTACACAATAAAGTAAGTAGTATCAATTAGTTTAAGATTTTCAATTTTTGTTTGTGTTATTGTCATTTACCTTAAAACTCATGGAGCGGCAAAATGATCTGACAATTTTCTTTGCCGCCCTGTCGTGAGTAGTGGAGGGTGGTGGGAAGAGAGGCGTTACAAAACCAATATGCGGACATTTTTAGTAGCCCTGGAGCTATGGACGGCTGAGCACCATGTATTTGTAATGGACGTGTTTTTAAAGTGGCAATTCCTGTGTAGCTGTTCAGTAGACGTTTCAATGTGGGTCAAAGAAGAAAAGTCCCAACTTAAAACACCATTTTTCTGTGGGTGGGTAACTTTAGAGCTACTAGTTCAGCATTGAAACTAAAATCAACAGGCCATCTAAGGTCAGCCTGGACGCCAGAGAATGTAAAGAGATTGGGGAAGACTGTGTGGTGTGGTTGAAAGTGCGCTTCTTTGCACATAATGACAATTTTGTCACGTGTAAGCAAAACAATCACTTGTTCTGAAAATGATATGCCCGTTGCATCTCACTGGGTTCAACTACTGGGCGTCAACCGTTGCGCGATTGCCATTTTGTATGAATCTAAGTGCAGGTCGTATCGTAATCATTACTTCATCTATGTCGTAATACTCTTCTACCGAGCACCCAGACATGTGCAGATCTGCAGTTTATTTACGTGCTGGCCGCTGAGGACTATCTTCCACGGCTTCTCTCACTCTCTCGACGTTCTCTGGTGTCCAGGCTGACCTTGGACGGCCTGTTGACTTTTTTCAATGCTGAACTAGTAGCTCTGAAGTTACCCATCCATAGCAAAATAGAGTTTTGAGTAGGGACTTTTCCCTTTGCACCCACATTGAAACGTCTACGGAACTGCCGCTGAACAGCTACACTGGAATTGCCAGTTTTAAAAAACCCCTTCACTACAAATGCATGGTGCTCAGCTGTCCACAGTTCCATGGCTACTAAAAATGTCCGCACATAGAATATGAAACGCCCCTATTCCCACCACCCTCCCCCACTCACTCGCTCGACAGGGCGGCAAAAAAACTGTAAGATCATTTTGCCGCTCCCTGTTAGCGCAAAACATTTAAATTAAAAAAAATTTTAAATAGTAAATTTGATTTTATTGAAGTCTATTATATTCTTTTGTATTAGCTTAGGTTGTAAACCGTATATTATGGAATATTAATGCATTTCAGATCTCATTATGATTGAATACTAATTGTCATTAACCACTACCACTAATAATTTAGACTCCTGAATAAAAAAATAAAAAATAAGTAAAATTCATATGACATTATACGGTAGAAAAACATTAATTTCTCGATGAAACAATTTAAATTAAATAAAACATTTAAAGAAGAGTGCAATTTTGTATAACAGTGGTATGGACAGTCACAATATGGCTTTGGTATGAATTGTTATTATAAAAAAGTAAAACTGAATCTGACAATCAAAGCAAAAATCTAATTAAGTTACTGAAAGAATTACAGAAGACAGAGGACAGAAAGCATGAAGATAAATAACTAACAAGACATAACAACACAAGAAAGTATGATATGCTCAATTGTCTAACATTCTGTATGTTTGGGGTATACGTACTTTGGTTCAATATTTACTATTTAGGATTTTAGGATAATTGTACTATATCCGTAAGGATTAAACTTTACGTAAAAGCACTATCAAAAGTTAAAAATCGTGGTACCTGATTCATTACATAGCACTTGTTAGGTTTTTTTATATTTAAATAAAGGTTGTACTATCCAAAAATAATATGAGAAAAAATTTTCAAATCAAAATCAAATCTAATCAAATCAACTAGTTCTAGTTTTATTAGATTTCTGTAAAGTGTTGTATTAACCACTAGGCTGACTAGGCCGCAGCGTTTTGGATAAAACTTTTTTAAAGACAAATTGGATCTTTTTATACAAAAACACAACTTAACATGATCACGGGGGACGATGATGTCCCTGTGAGGTTTATGATTTCATCACGATCGCCATAGAGTTCCAACTAAGGGGTGGGGGCCACAAAGTGTTAATTTGGTCTAAGGCCGCATGTACCGCAAATCCATCACTGTTTCTATGGACTAATCCAATTCTCAAAAACCTATCACATAATCAGATTCATGCCTGATGAGAGCACTGATTTTCCTTCACATCGTTATCAACTAGACAACAAGACCAATCATCACATTTAGGTGGATACCGTCTACAATATTAGTGAGAAACGTAAACAACGTGGTGTTATCAAATTTGGAATAGCTCTCATGGTCGGGATGGGAAATAATTGGAGACAGTTAAATTTAAAGTTTGGAGAGTTAAATTTATGAACAGCTCTCTTTCTACAAAGTGAGCCTAGACACTGAGGTGAAATATTAACAAAGTGAAATAACCCCTCAAATAGACACCACAGAATCATTAGTGAAATGCTTTCACAATAATGAAACAAGCGTCCCAGCCAAGATTCAAACTTTGTCTTAAGTCAGGTTATCAAGAGTCAATTGTCAGGACAGAACTCATGAACCAATGCTGACATGGACAATGATGACACTCTGATTCCATGCCAAACCACTCACCAAGCAGTCAATTATCACCTGGAGTTACGGTCCCAGATGAAGTGACCAGCGAAATTGTTTAAAAGCAATCTGTTGGATCTGCAGCCCAAAGTAAAAACCAATAGTTCCTATTGGAGGCTCAGATTAGCATATGCTTGTGATTTGTGATTGGTTCGTGTTGGATATTGAATGGAAGTTCAGCAAGTAAATTACTTTTGTAAAAGTTTTATCGAAGGTTTGAAATGTAAGTAGATAGTGTGTTAACTAGTGAAAATGAGGATAAACGGTTAAATATAAACTATATGAGTACAATTGAGAAGGTTGTACGTGTAAGTTGCAACTGTTATGTTATGAAATTCCTAAAAGTTGAAAGCTAAATATGATATTTTTCTGCAAACCATAATACGTACATTAAAAAAAGTAAAAAGATGGTATAATATGTAAAAGTACATTTTTACTCAACATTAACATTGTGAGGTATCAACAAGATTCTATTATCAATAGAATCTCTTAGTAACATTGTACTGAAACTAGTACAATCAGCATTCAGGTTTTTACAGGAATAAATTTGTGCGTTTGTAACACATCTTTGAGGAGCTAGACATTTTGAGAAAAGATTTCACCAAAATCACTGATATTATGGGTACCTCAATCTTTGTCAATGAAAATTCAACATTGAAATTTTGTCTACCTTTACCAAATTGGTAGGCAATATGTTAAACAAGTCCACAGTTACAGATAGAATGTGAAATTCAATAAGTATCTGTATTGAGGAATTACATATTACGAGTTACAGATATTAATTTATAGTTGTAAATGAAAGGAAACCGTACTCAGTTTACATGAGTTTACCCAGGAAAAAATCAAATTAATTGTATATAATGTAAGTTGAAACTCACCCTTGAAGCGCCTTCTCTCCGAAGAAGTCTCCTTTACTAAGTTGTCGGATGAATTTGTCTTCTTCTGTGTTAGGCTGCTTTATCGTAACTTTGACCTAGAACAATACAATGCTAGATATGAAACACAAACACATATTGTTGCAAAAAATATGCTATACCATACACAGTGGTTGTGTAACTAAAGCACCATCTAATAGGGACTACAATTTGTCAAAGTTGATTTTGCAACCACACTACAAAAATTAGGTGTGTTAATAATGTTATTTTGATACTGTAACAAAAACTAACAAATTATTTTCACAAAGTTACTTAAGCACACAAACAAAAGCCTTCCACAGATGCGCAGAGTTGAGTTAATTTATGGAGAGAAACTTTGTAAATGAACATTGAATTTTGTTTTAGAATCCTGGAATGAATAGGAATAGATGTTCTACTGATAATAGGGAGTATATTGGACATTTACACACAGGGAATAGCCTATTAAAACACTAGATAAAGCAAACCAATTTAAAGAATAGTATGACACAAAAAAACAAACATATCAACTTGCATCTCTACTGTACGTTCTTTGGCTTCTTACTGTATGTAAATAGTTTGTAATAGTCAACTGATTTTCACTTTGTGAGTTAGAAAAAAAAATTAAATGGGATGGCTAAAGTATTGAGTTTTTGCATGCACGAAAGCAAAGAGAAAGCTCCAGTTTTTTTCCTCGGTGTACCCATCATCGGCCTCTGCCGACACGGCCCTTGTTGAACTATCGAGGTTCTACTGTACTGACAACAAACTTATCCTCTTCACAAGATCACGGACCAAACTGATGTGTTACTTTTACCAAGCAAATATCAACAAGGATTTCTGCTTAAGTTCATCAAGTAAAATGTGCATAAAAGAAAAAAACAGTTTTTTGACTACACCCAGTGCTCGATTTGTGACAGAACAGCGTTCATATTGGCATGGGGGGGGGGGGTCATAATATCTGTAGGTTACAGTTCAGGCACCTATTTTTTTACAAATTGAGCCCTGATTACACCTATTACTGTCCAACCATGGATACTATGAATTTTACGTACTAAGCAAAATAAATGGATTAAATTTTTACTTACTTTTCCTTTACTAATGATGAAGAAGGTGTCACCTCTCGCCCCTTGCCTGATGATGTAGTCTCCCTCGTTGTAGAACGTCTGCGGGAAAACAAGATGTTAAAATTGTAAAAAGATTATACTTTTAGTAACACATAGTAGCATCAGAGAACTAATTTACTGTCACCCAACAAACTTTAATAAACTATTTATTAAAAGTAACAATGAAAAATACAAAGGAAGTGCTCTAAACGTAAATTAGATTGTTAATTCACTACTATACATTAGAACCTTGATATCTCCACGCTTTCATTTGCTGTGAGGGTATAAATTCAGGGTAAAAGTAAAAGTTTGAGTTATTGAGTTTTTTTAAGTAAGTGAAGATCAAGTAATTAAGGTGTAACATTCGTGATACAGTACTAAGGAGACGAATTCTGGCTACTATGTTACGTCACAACCTTCATAACTCGACTTTACACACTATACCTAATAACTCGAGCTCAAGCTTACTGGTACCTGTAGAATCAAAATAAACAATCTATGATGAATACACATTTAATCAAATACAGCTAACTTTCACAGTATAGTAACTTTGAATCATTGAGGCATATTGTGAAAATTTGACTTATAAAGGTAAAGTTTGAGTTATTGAGTCATGTGAATAAGAAACTGATTAATAGTGGTTAAGTATTACAGATCATAAAAAGTCGAAAGTAGACTTATCAAGGTTAAATATTTAACATTGTGATTTACCAGGGTTTCAATGGGATTATGAAAAATTCAGAATAAAGTATCAAGGAATTCGAGTTCTACTACATTAATTAGTTGAGTTGTAGGTGGATTGTAGATTCATTTCTCTAAGTAGTCAGACAATATGTATTATTCATTTTTGGATAGGACACCATAATTTTTTTTTCTTTAGTAACCATTTATAGTTTAAAGAGAAGTGCATAAGGCACATGAGGTTAACATCATATATGAACATGAATAATGTATGAATGAAGTTCAAATCTGGATAACGGAAATTCGTACTAAGGAGATTAAAGTACTAATTTACAATCTAATTCAAGAAAAGTATATATTTACCTCTTCCAAGACATCTGAAATCTTGATTAACGTTTCTTCTGGTAGATTCTTGAAAATTGGAACACTGAAAAAAACCCCCAAAAAAACAGATAAAACTAGACCAATAAATGAACAATATTTTATACGAGAAATTATGCTTTGTGTTTTAAAAAAATGTGTGTAAAATGCATTTTATGGATTTTAAAATGCTAATAGTTGAAGAATTCCCACAGCTGACAGCAAATGTTAGTTTGTCTTATCTTGTTCCAATCTCTACAACAATGGATCATACATCCACTCCCATCATCTGCAGCCATGGCCTCTTATTTGTTTGCAAAGCATATCTTACTTCTTTCAAAGAGGAAAAAATGTTTGCAGTGTTACTGAAACACAGCTTCATGTACAACGATTTTAACTCCTTTACTGGGTAGTAAAGACACCGGGTGGTGTCTGGAGACACAACATACAGAGCGAGAGGAGTGTGACGGCTGGTACTGAACCAGTTAAACAAAATTTAGAAGTAAGAAAAAATGTATTAGCTTAGGTAGTTTTTCATCAGGAAAGCTGTATAAAAAAGCAAATCAGGCATCAGAGCCACAAATCCTGTTTTATCCCTCATCCCATTTTAACCCAGAGTGCATGATCTAAAAACCCCATGTATGGAAATACTCGTTGTAGATCATACTCCGCATGAAGCTATAGAACTTCCCAACAATCAGAAGTATCATACTAGTTTGATCCTCAGAAAATTCTTAACAGTTTATCAATGGACTCTTAATAAAGTTCTTGTATTTAGACAATGATAAAGCTGTTCAGATCACCTCACTTCATCTTACACTAATTACATTCGTATTCAGATTAAAATATTTAATACTGACATCTAGGGGGTGTTGCTGTCCCAAAAGGTTTCACTGTATGTGGTCCTAAATTTTAGTATTTCAAATGTATTGAATTATCTCTCACCTCTTCAGGAAGTCCGTGTACTCTGCCTGCCGTATGAGTCCTGTCCTCATCATGATGGTTTGGAAGCATTGTCGCTCTATTGCCCATAGCTTGCAGTCCGATGCGGCTGGAATCATATAAAGTTCGATGAATTTATCGTAACAGTTCTAAATCATATAAAGATGATTTTATTTGACAGTCTGTGGGACTGCTGTGATTCTTCAGAATATGTTTTAATATACTTCTTCTACCAGTTCTTCTACAAGTTATACAGGGAAGGGTAGCTCTATATTTTTTATGGCAAATAGAGACAGAGGGAGGGGGGCCATTAAATCAGAACAAAGTACGATCAAATACATGTATCTATTCTTTTTGACAATGTCTTGTGTCTATGCCAGGGTTTTTTTTAAGGCAATTTGTTACGTCAGGTGTATTTGTTCTATATTTTGATGTCTGAAATATTTTGAACAATTTATAAAGGAAAACTGTAGGGGCCCGTTACAATTTCAAAATTTTTTTAGTATTAGGGTTTTAATGTAGTAGCCTATATGTGGTCTAAGACTTTTTTGAGTAAAATAATTTGAATATAAATTTTAATATTCAAAGAATATTCTTCGCTCAATGGTTTTCATTGGAACGTTCAATTTCTTTATGACCTGACAAAATATAACATACTCCTTGAAATAATGTAGTTGCCTTGTTAAGCTTTTTTTGTCCAAGCAAATACTTTGATGAATTTTGTTTACATATTATCTTTGACTATTAATACAATGATATTATTTATTGTTATTTCACAACCAACATAACAACTCATATGACCCATGTAAAAACTTTAAAAAGTCTGGATTCATGATGAAGCCATTTTAAGTAGTAGATTCTTTGCCATAACACTGGCCTAGGACTTATTGTAAGAAAACTTCAGTAGGTACTATCCTACATATTATGCATAAAGAAATCCCTCAATTCATATTCTGAAAAAGATGTCCACTATTAGAGACTTCACTCATATTACAAATAGGATTAGACAGCTGTAAACAACAAATTTAAAGTCCATGGATAAAAAGTCCTCTCAAGTACCAATATATTGGTTTGGTAGCTTTTAATAAATTTGCAGTGAGGGTAGTTCAAACTACCTACCTTTGATTGTGGCTGTTCGCTTGCAGTTGTAGAGGATGGCCAATTCTCCAAACACTTTCCCGGGGGCTAGCGTGCTCAGGTACTTGTTTTCCCGGGAAACTTCCACTCTTCCCTCTGAAACATTGGAAAAGCAATTAAAAGATTGGTCAAAAAGAGCTCTTTCCAACCCCATATTTTCATTGAGTTTTGCTTTTCGACAACAATAACAGATGGATGGTTTTATTTAACTACAGCTGATGTTTTGATATAGACAGTTTGAGGGAATCTGAAATAATAAGTTAGACTATTGTCGGGACCGTAAGTTTGCAGTTGAGGGAGGAGCCTATTTACCATATGGTTTTGAATGAACCAATGAGAACCGTGCGGTGTTTGCCAAATCTGTTAATACCAGCTGATTTTAATATATTGCTTAGTATATTTTAGTTTTGTCAACGGACGATGTGGCAACGTCGCACTAGCCTTGTCTTGTGATTGGCTGCCAACAACTGCAAACTTACGTGGTCCCGACAATAGTTGAATGCATTATTAAGCTTTTGAAGTTCCTGTAAACTACTACTTAAAAAAATATTGGATGAGGATCTCTATATTACATAATTTCTTTAAAAGTTTGGAAGGTTGGGAAGGCCGAGGACAGTAAGGAAGCAGCAAAGAAAAAGAAACCTACCAGAACACTAGAGGGTTCTTGGCGACTATTTTGATTATTTGTAGATATTTATTTTATGGAAGCAGTTAAGTTTTTAATGTGTAAAATATCTCTAAAATATTGGCATTAGAATAGTAAATTTAAAAAAAATGCAGTAGGCTTTAAAAAGTAATTAATTGACAACACGTTATCTCTACTTCAGCTTATTGGTTATACCAAAGATTACAATCTTTGGTTATACTTTAGAAGTATTTTGTCACCAATGACATTAAGAAAACTAATTTAGTTTCTCAACAATTAAAATATAGGTTAAACTATAGTCATTGGACACAAAAAGTGTTACTAGGATTGTGAACTAAGTTGTTAGGAATCTGACTAGTTTTTTTTTTTATATATATAAAAAGAACGAAAAAGCCTGCAAAATTGTTGATAAAAGATTCACAGTAATTGGTCCTAAACTATAACCCGGCCATGGCCAAGCTCCTAAAATACTTGATAGTTTTAAACAGTTTAGTTTGTGATCAACAGAACATGTTTATTTCCTGTTTACAAAGGATAAATTAGAGCGAACTGCTAAGAACTGGCTGTACAGGTCTGAGCCTAGGCGACAGCGCAGACACTACACTATCACTAGGTGGTATACAACCTTGGGATCTACGGAACCGTCCCCAACCACCACAGCCACCTCAATCTCATTCCTCTTACTTCCATGAGGAAATCGTTATACTATATGAATGTAAACGTCTCCAATGTGACCCTGCATTGAGGCCAAAAGGACCATAAGCATCACAAGGTTTTTCGAGAAGCTAGTTAAGCTAGTCTGTTGAACAATCACCGAATGGAAAATGTAAGAGACTAATTGAAGTATGTCAATTTGTTTAACATTTTAGCCTATTGGATTTAATACTTTATAGGCTACGTTGATGCAGACAATAATTATAACACAGCTCATGTTAATAAACACTTTATCGCTCAACATAGCTTGATAATCTCTGGTTTTGTAGTTCCGTTTTAGGGGTTGCTTTTGTTTTCGGTGTCTACGCCGCTGGCATTACGATCGATGAAACACGAACATGTTAGGGGAAGCTGTTCAAATCCTCAAATTTTAGTGAATATGCCGGGCATTGAACCAGTCCCTCCTGCACCAATGTTCAAAGTTCCAACCACTTAGCTTCACATCCTAATTACACATCGATATATAATATTTTTTACTCATTTTTGTAAGATTATAAAGTCCAATGGTGGTTTTCATATCACGGCCTAATCATACTGATGGTTTGGCCTAGCTCATGAAATTTAATAAATTTCCGGAAACATACTAATTATTGTAACAGAATATCTAAACACCAAACAAACAGATCATTAGATAGGCCTATTCAATTACCAAACTCCATCCTTGATTAAGCTAAGCGTTAAGTCAATAACTATTGAAAACCACCTAACAAGACGCAGAATTTTCGCAACCTGATAGTTTGCTACCTGTACAAATGTGTATTATTAGACCCTAACAATATTTGCACTACCAGCCATTACCATTACCAAATCAATCTCGCCACTCCACGAAGATACCCACTCGTATGACGTAATTGCATGCAATTTGGTGAAATTAATACCTGCATTTGCATGCCGGTGCCGTTAAGGAATCCAGGGTGCCATTATAGTGCAACGATGCCAGACACCCATTACCATTAGAATGGGTGGAGTGATGGTAATGGTAATGGTAATGAGGCTGGTAAAATGGTAACGTAACATAGCCAGCAAATAACGCTCCTGTTGAATGCTGGTATCGGGTGTCAATTGATTTGTAAGTTGAAAATCGTTGGGTTGATACAAGTTCGTTTGCCTACAGTAACCTGACAAAGTGGGCTTCCTTGCTCAGATTTTAGTACAGAAAGTTGCTAATTGCCGCATTTACTTACTTTTGCCGCACAGCAGTATTCCAACCAAACAACACAAACGGCATTCTTTTAGGAAAAATATAATGTGTAACACGAGTGCAAAGTGTCACTTCGCACACTAGTTACACATAACTATTGTATTACTAGCAGAGTACCCGTCCTTCGTACGGGATTGAAAGGCCCCGAGGCACACACAGCAAGGACACAGTTTAATAACATTTACTTCTTTAAATTTAAGGTACCGGTATACTATAGTATTACACATCTACCATAGCCATAATGTTCTACCACTAAAAAAATATCAAAAATTCGCAAAATATCACAAATTATTCACAAAATTAAAAACATAAACATAACTGTAATCAATCCTTCTTTGACAGTTCTCATTCCGTATCACATTTTTTTCTGCTTAGTTCAAATTATATTAGCTGTTTTCATAAATGCAAAAAAAGTGCTGCACTCTGTTGTTAAATCCTATAACTTTTTAATGCTTTTGCATATCATAGAACAAACATTTTTATTTGAAACAGCTGACTAAATTATTTTATTCCCTTTAAATATGAATACTCATAAGGTTAACATGGGGAACTACAGAGCCACTGGGGCGGAGCCCGAAATGTTTTTTGAGGTAAGAATATGCCTATAATCGGGAATGTAAGCTATCATCATGCCAAATTTCAGCCCAATCCGTCCAATAGTTAATGCGTGATTGAACTTCAAACAAACAAACAAACAAACAAACGAACACACAAACTTTCACATTTATAATACAGTGTGTAAATTAAATATTGAAACAAATCTGTATTTTTAAAACCGAAATAGATAGAAATATTCTGATTGTGGCAATAATTGTTAACAAAGGTTCCGCAATTTTTCCATAAAAAATATTTGTTTACCCCCCTAACAGGTCAGGGGGTAGGGGGTGACTTATTTTTTTCAAATAGCATACCCTATTAAGTGACCCCTCATTTTGAAGGGTTTGTCAAAAGAAACACAATGACGCAAATCCGAGGTGAATATCTCACCCCTAGCCAAAGTGGCGGATATTCCAAAATGGGTGCTTTTTTACAAAAATTAAATTTTGTAATACCCGCCATTTCGGCTAGGGGTGAAATATCAACCTCGGGTTTGCGTCATTGTTTTTCTTTTAACAAACCCTTCAAAATGAGGGGTCACTCAATAGGGGTTGTTATTGAAAAAAGTCACCCCCACCCCCTACCCTGTTAATGTAGTTGAAAAAAATATTGTTGATGTAAAAAATTGCGGAACCTATGTTAACAATAAATTCCACTAACAGAATATTTCTATCTATTTCGGTTGTAAAAATACATTTCGTTCTATTATATTTGTGAAATTGGTGCTTTTTCACATACAGTAAATCAAACTTTTGAATGCGTGCCATTTTGGCTAGGGGTGAGATATTCACCTCGGATTTGCGTCATTGTGTTTCTTTTGACAAACCCTTCAAAATGAGAGGTCACTCAATAGGGGTTGCTATTTGAAAAAATGAGTCACCCTCTACCCCCTACCCTGTTAGGGGGGTAAAAAAATATTTTTGATGTGAAAAATTGCGGAACCTTTGTTAACAATCAACGCCTCAAACAGAATATTTCTATCTATTCCGGTTTAAAAAATACAGATTTGTTTCAATACTTAATTTACACACTGTATAAGTAAGACAAGATTATAGGAGCATATACATAAGGTATAAAAATGACGTGATATTTCAGTACAGAGAGCCGAAACCCCCCCGAATAGGACCAGATCCTCTTCAGCCGTGTAAAAAATAATTGTTTTTGGATGTGCCGGGAATTGAAACAGTCCCTCCCACCCCGAAGTCCGTGACGCTCAATAGGCTAGCAACACACCTTTTAATTTTGTTTCCTACAGCTGCTAAAATTTGTTTAGCAGTCCGATGCACTGTAGAGGTCGCGTTTTGTTTACAATTTGTTTCCTGTTATTTCAGTAAAACCTCTGATAACCAAATAAAACTATCTAATTATAAACAACAACTCTTCCCTTAGTTATATAACCGAGTAAAGCACAAATCATGGAATTAACCACAGCCACCTCTAATACATGGCCGCGACGTTCGAACTGGCAACGCCGCAATCACACCCCCTCTGCGTCCGTCTTCACACGCGCTAGGCTATGAACATCAATGAGAGTATTGCTGCTCTGTATCAATGAATGAAAGTATTCAAATACGTAATAACATATTTTAGTAGATTTTAAGGTATGGTAAAATAGACAAAATTGTAATCTAGGTTGTTTATTTAGTGAAAAATTGCAACATACCGCAATATGTCTAAAACTAAAAATATACAAACATAATGTTTTTGGTTGCATTTATCGTATTGTAAGTAAGATGAATGTGGAAATAGATGAACTTTAAATATTTCCTTTGTTAATTTGATAATCTACACTATTATATAACAATCTCATGGTGTCTGTATATATGTGTGTTATTCAACATAGTAAAAACTAATAGACAGACTGTGCTTAAATTTTACAAAATAAAGCTACTATACATTCGTTACACTTCTTTTTAATGCTTTTAGAATTAAGTTTAG